CATCCGAAGAAGTGGGCTGTAGTCCACGAAAGCTTATGCTCTAATAAATTTGTTAGTCTCTAAGGTGCCACAAGTACTCCTGTTATTCCTTTTGAAAAGAGTTGTGGAGGAAAAATTGCTTTCTTCTGTTTTAATTCTAATAGGTTGATACCAAAATCCATCTAAAAATTTCATATAAACATTTTGGGACTTTATTGAAAACTGTGAAGACACCAATTTATTACCATAGAATGGGGTGTCCTCTTATGGATCAGGGCACATCTAGTTCAATGGGAGTGTGCACACAGTGAGGGAAGTGTGCAGTGTAGAAGGCACAAGGTAAAGGGGAAAGTTGTGTGACATAAGAACGATTATACTGCGTCAGACCAATGGTCCAGCTAGCCCGGTATCCTGTCTTGACAGTGGCCAATGCCAGGTGCTTCAGAGGGAATGAACAGAACAGGTAATCATCACCTGTCGCCCATTCCCAGCTTCTGGCAAACAGAGGCTCAGAACATTGCAGCTTACAGAGAAGAAATATTTTTAGACCTGTGATGAGTAGCTGTTTTGATTCAGTTATATGACCTTCTTTACTGCCTTCTGTTATTACTCAAGTATTGCTGTTTACATAGATTACCAGTTTGGTGAAAACACAAAAAGGAAGCCTTTTGAAAGCAATAAATCAAACCTTATTTAAATGTGCTTGGGTCACCCTCCTACATTAATTTGTAAAAATCTCACTTCCAAGCAGTGTACACTTCCTTAGCTCTGTTTTCCTGCCGTGCATGAATATGCCACAGTCTTGCCTTTTAATTCTATAATTGAGCTGACTCTCCAGTTAATTTTCTTTTATGTAGGATAAGTACTTGAAAGCAACAAACATTAATGTTTAATAGACACAAGGGTATTCCCTGCAGCCCTTAAATGAGGGTTATTAACAGTAACATGTTATGTAATCCAATCAAAGACCTAATGCTGAATACCTCTCCTGTTTGGTTAAAAAAATTGAATAGACTAACCTAATGATGGGCTTTAGGCAAAACTCATCTGTTAAACTGCTTAGTAATTGAATGCCCCAATGTCATAAACTGCTTGAAGTAAGAGTACTTTCACTAGCAATATCAAGCACATTCAACCTAGAATGAACCCAGCACTGGATTAATTCTGCTTTGTCAGAGGAGGTGGACAGGAGCATGCTTTTTATCTTAACTTCTATGGTTCCAAGTAGAGACCAGATCAGTCAGCTTGGAGATAAATATTGGTTTCTCTGAGCCTCAAGAAATGTGATTTGAAATACTGTTTGGTTTGTTAGCACAGTTTAGTTTAACAGTTCTCTCACCATAAGTCCTCTATGCTTTCTCCCTCATAGCTTCTATAAACTGGAGACTCCTGGTTTACAAGCAAGCAACATTTAATTACAAAAGAGATTTTTCCCCTTTCCCTTGTGGAAAAACATTTGACCTTTTCCTGGTTAGAACTGTTCCTGTGAAGCCTCTGAAGCAGGCAAATATGAAGTTATTTATACACCACAGCAATGTGATGTTGGATTAGGGTTCCATTATTTTCATCCAGACTTCCTGTTACTTGTTAAGTGTTGATAATGTGCAAGGCACTGTACAAAAAATGAAGGCATTCCTGTCACCCAAGGAACTGGAAAAACTGGGGGAAGGGAGGAAAACTTGCTTTAAAAAGGCTGTGAACTCCAGTCACCAAAATGTGCTGTCAACCACGCTACCTGTGCCATGGCAGTGGTCTGGGATATCATAAAGCATCTGTATTTCTAGCCTTGTAATTTTTAAGTGTCCATCACTACTTCCATAGTCATTGCATGCTGGTGCTAATATTTATCCTCATACGTTTCAATGAAGACAAGACAAAAAAAACTTTTGAAACTTGTTCTGCTCTTTTAAAAAACAAAATAACTTTTTTCTTTACTTTGGTTTAAAGAGTGTTTGGGTTTTGTTGGTTTTTTTTCCTCTATCTAAGTAGACCAACGTTTTCATCTCATTTGTGACTGAAGTGGGAGAAGTTTGAAGAGATTAAAATGAAGTTAGAATGGCAACTATCTGACCAAATCTACCACTATGGGCACTTTGATAGAATCTTCTATAACTATTCAGTGTATATTGTAGATCTACTGGGAGTTGTTTCATAGATTCTAAGGCCAGGAGGGACCATTGGCATCATTGTCTGACCTCCTGTGTATGACAGGCCACAGAATGTCCCCAAAATAATTCCTAGACTCTAGAGCATATCTTTGAGGAAAACATCCAATCTTGATTTAAAAATTGCAGGTGATTGGGAATCTACCACAACCCTTCATAATTCACCATTGGAACAATTTACTCTCCTTGTTAAAAACATATGCCTTATTTCCAGTCGGAATTTGTCTAGCTCCAACTTCCAGCAATTGGATCGTGGCTAGATTGAAGAGCCCATTATTAAATATTTGTTCCTCGTGTAGGTACTTATAGACTGTAATCAAGTCACCCTATAACCTTCTCTTTGTTAAACTAAATAGATTGAGTGCCTATAAGCAGGGCCGGCTCCAGGGTTTTTGCCACCCCAAGCGGCGTGGGGGGGGGGGGGGAAGCCGCGATCGGCAGCAGCTCCACTGCACCGCTTTCTTCTTCGGCAGCAATTCGGCAGCAGGTCCTTCCCTCTGAGAGCATCATTCCCACCAAAGAGCCCAATGTGCCACCCCTTCCCCTTGGCTGCTTGCTGGGCTGGTGCCTGGATCCGGCCCTGCCTATAAGGCATGCTTTCTAATCCTTTAATCCTTCTCGTGTCTCTTCTCTGAACCCTCTAGTTTATCAACATTCTTCTTGAATTGTTGGCACAGAACTGGACACAGTATTCCAGTAGTGGTTGCACCCGTGCCAAATATGAGTTAAAATAAACTCTTTACTCTTAATCGAGATTCCCCTGTTCGTGCGTCCTAGGGTTGCATTAGCTCTTTTAGTCACAGTATCACAATGGGAGCTCATGTTCAGTTGATAATCCTCCATGAAAGCCAAATCTTTTCCAGACTGTCTGCTTCCCAGGATGGAGTCCCCCATTCTGTAAGAATTTCCTGTATTCTTTGTTCCTAACCATATTAAAATGCATATTGTTTGCTTGCTCCTAGTTTATCAGGTGATTCAGATCACTCTGAATCAATGACCTGTCCTCTTCATTATTTACCACTCCTCCAGTTTTTGTTTACCAAGTCAAATGCCTTACAGAAGTCTAAGCATATTACATTAACATTATTACCTTTATCATCCAAACTTGTAATCATAAAAAAAAAATCAGTTTAGTTTGACGGGATCTATTTGTTGATTTGCATTTATTACATTATCCTCCTTTAGTTCTTTATTAATAGAGTCCTGTATCAGCTGCTCCATTGTCTTGTCCGGTATTAGTGTCAGGCTGACAGGCCTATAATTACCCAGGTCATCTTGTTTACCCTTTTTTTAAAATTGGGACAACATTAGCTTTCTTCCAGTCTTCTGGAACTTCCCCAGTGCTCCAAGATTTACTGAAAATACACATTAACAGTCCAGCGAACTCCTCTGCCAGCTCTTTTAAAACTCTTGCATCCAAGAGTTATCTGGACCTGCTGACTTAAATCTAAC